GGAAACATTTTTAAGTATCTATATACCAAATAATACGATAATCGTTTTTTATAACATATATTACTATTTAGACGTTCACATATTAGCTTCCACATATGAGAGAAAATGTGGTATTTTGTCTTTTCTGAGTCTGGTTTCTCCACTCAATACAATGATCTCCAAACACATCTATCTTGTAGCAAATGTCAGAATTTTATTCTTTTTATAACCAAGTAATAGTCCACTGTGTATATATATTTTTATCCGGTCATCTTCTGATGGACATCTAAGTTGATTCCACGTGTTTGTTGTTGTGAATTGGGCTGCCAAAAACCATGTGCAGGTGTCTCCTTCATCCACTGACTTTATTTCCTTTGGCTATACTCTCAGAAGTGAGACAACTAGGAAGATTTGCTATTAGTTTTTGAGGAATCTCATACTGTTTTTCAAAAATGCTGCTCTGCTCTGCCTTCTTGCCAACAATGTATCAGGGTTTTATTTCTCCACATCCTCTCAAACATGTTATCTTGACTTTTTGATAACCATTGTGGATATTAATACATATATTAACACACTATGTATTTGTTAGCCACTTATATTTCCTTCAAATAATTAGTCTTCAGAACCTTTGCCCATTTCTTAACTGGACTGATTTGTTGCTATTCAATTTCTTGAGCTATTTAGCTACTTTAGATAGCTTTCCTTTATCAGATAAACATGTGTAAACATTTAATCTACTATTAGTGTTGACTGTTTGCTACGCAAAACCTTAATTTTGGGGCCCAGGCAGTAGCATAACAGGTTGATTCTCCATCTGTGACACTGGTATTCCATATGGATGTCACCATGTGACCTTGCTGCTCCATTTCCAACCAGCTCTCTGTTTTTGACTTGGGAAAGCAGCAGAGGATGGCCCAGGTCCTTAACCTCATGTACCCCATACATGGGAGATCTGGAAAGAAGTCTTCATTCCTGGCTTCAGATCATCTCAGTACTAGCTGTGGTAGCCATGTGGGGAGCGAACCAGCAGATGGAAGACCTCACTCTCTGTCTTTCCCGTTCTGTAAAATTTTTCAAATAAAAATAAATCTTTTAAACAGCTTAGGTTTACACAAACTACGTTTGTGTATATTTGCTTTTGGGGTCTTATTCAAAATTGTTGCCTACGTCAAATTGTTGGATGATTTCCGTAATTTTTTTTTCTCCAGTATTTTCATGGTTTTAGGTCACATTTAGATCCTGGGTTCATTTTGAGTTGATTTTTGTGTAGCTTAAAAGCAGGGGTCTTGCTTAAAACCTCTGCATGTGGCAATCCAGTTTTCCCAATGCTGCATGCCCAGGGAACAGACCATGTGGGCGGTCTCAGTTAGCAGGCTCTTGTCATGGGTTCCCCTGGGGATACAGTGTGCCATGTGCCTACGGCCTCCTACATGGGCTAGGCAGGCAGAGATCCGGGGGGCAATCTCCACATCCTAACACCATTTATGAAAGTCTGTCATTTCTCCATGGAATGTCATCAGTATCTTGGTTAAGAGAAGTTGGTTGTAGATCGGTGGATTTATTTCTGTGACTTCTATCCTGCTCCCTTTGTTGATGTTTAGGCCAGTATCATGCTATTCTGGTTACAACAGTCCTGTGGCACGTTTGGTACTGTGATGCTTCCAGTATTTAGCATTTAAGAATACTTTCGCTATTCAGTGCTCCCATGTGAATTGTAGTAATGTTCCTTGTATTTCTGTAAAGACTATGATTGGCACTTTCTTGAGGACTGAACTAAATCTGTAAATCACTTTGGGTAAGATGGATATTTTTATAGCATTAATTTTCCCAATTCATGAACAAGGGAGGTCTTCATATGCTATGTGTCTTCTTCAACTTCTTTTGTTTGTGTTATATAATTTTCATTGTACATGTCTTTCACACCTTTAGTTAAGTTTATCCCAAAGTATTTACTTTTTTTGGTAGACACTATGAAGAGGATTGTTCTTACAACTTCTTTCTCAGTAAGATTATTGTTGCTAAAATGATAATTTAAAAAATGCTGGGCCCAGTGCGGTAACCTAGTGGCTAAAGTTCTCACCTTGCTGGGGAGGGCTGGGATCCCATATGGAAGCCAGTTCTAATCCTGGCAGCCCTGCTTCCCATCCAGCTCTCTGCTTATGGCCTGGGAAAGCAGTCAAGGACGGCCAAAAGCCCTGCACCTGCGTGAGAGACGTGGAGGAGGTTCCTGGCTCCTGGCTTTGGATCGGTTCAGCTTCAGCTGCTGTGGCCACTTGGGGAGTGACCCATCAGATAGAAGCTCTTCCTCTCTGTCTTTCCTCCTCTCTGTACATTTGATTTTCAAATAAAAATAAAATTAAAACAAAATTTTTTAAGTTTAAAAGCCACTGACTTGTCTGAGTTAATTTTGTATTTTCCAATTTTACTGACCTCAACAGTTGAAATAATCTGTTGGTAGAATCTTTTGGTTCCCTATATATTTATATATAACATGCCAAATTAAGTCAGGGAAAATCTCACTTTCTCATTTCACATCTGTGTAATCTTTTATTTTTTTTCTCCTGCCTAATAGCTTGGCTAAATTTTCAGACTGCAGACATGTTTTGTCTGATTCTAGGTCCCAGAGGACATGCTCCCAGCTTTTTCTCACTCAGTAAGACGTTGACTGTGGGCTTGTCACATATAGCCTTCCCCATCATCTGCAGCCTTTATTGTGCTGTGCTAGGTCGTTTCTCCGTGGATTCTGCATTTCTCTGCACCTACTGAGATGGCAATGAAATTTCTTTATCCCTTCATTCTGTTAATAAACTGATTTGCATTATATTGAACTATCCATGAATCCCTGGGATAGACTGCACTCGGACACAGCGGATGACCTCTTTAACATGTCGTTGTATTTGATTTGTTAGTATTTTGTTAAGAATGTTTACAAAACGTTCATAAGGGATATTGGTCTATATTGGTCTTTCTTTGCTTGCATGCTTATTGGATTTTGGAGTTAGGATATTGGAGGCTTTTCAATTGTTTAGAATAATGGCTGTTCCTTAAACATCTGGCCCTATTCAGTAGTAAAGTCATCTGGCCCTGGGCTTCTCTTATTAGGAGACTATTACTGATTCAAACACATAACCAGCTATTAGTCTGCTCAGGTCTTCTATGTCTTTGGGATTCAATTTTAACACATAATATGCTTCAAAAACATCTATTCATTTCTTTCAGGTTTTTGAATCTGTTATCATTTAGTTCTTTTTAATAAGTTCAAATAATTCTTTGAATTTCTGCAGTATCAGTAGTATTGTCACCTCCGTTTACATGGACTGAGCCTTCACTCTCATCTTTGTGGTTAGTCTGGGTTACAGTTTATCAATACTGTTTATCTTTTCAAATAATGAGCTCTTCATTTTGTTCATCTTAATTAATCTAGTTTTAAATTCCTATTTTATTTTATTTTCAATATTTCTTTTTTTCTTTTTGCTAATTTGGGGTTTGGTTTATTTTGTTCCTTTAGTTCCTTAAGATACCTTATCTTTCTTTTTGTTTCCTATGTTATAAATTTTCCTCATATTTTTGCTTTTTCTACATGGCACCTAAGTCTTGATATGTTTTATTTCCATTTTCATTTGTTTCAAAGACTTGTTAAATCTTCCCTGTGATTTGTTTTTCAGCAATTCACTGTTCACTTAAAACCGTGATGTTCATTCTCCATGTATTGCATAATTTCTGGAGTTTTCTTCTTTTAGCTTCAAGTTTTATTCCATACAGTCAGAAAAAGAAACTTGATCAATTGTTTTAGGCCTGTTGAGATTTGTCTTGTAATGTAATGTATGATCTGTCCTATGCCGCTATCCTTGAGGTTCCATACACTGAGAACAAGAATGTAAAGTACATTCAGTAGCAGTAGAATGCAATTTGCTGTAAATGCCCATTAGGTCCACTGGTGTATGGATTAGATTAACTTGTCTTTGCTGATTTTTCTGCCTAGTTGTTCTGTGTATTGAGGAAAGTGGGGATGCTGAAATCCGTTACTACTGTTGGACTGGAGATTTGGTCTCTTAACACTTATTTATAAAACTAGGTGCTTTCATGTTAGGTGCATATATATTTATAATGGTCAAATGTTTTGTTAGATTGATCTCTGATCATTATCCAATGATCTCTCTCTTTTAACAGTTTTCCCTTAAAGTCTATTTTGTCTGATATAACTACTCCTGCTATCTTTTGATTTTCATTTTCATGGAGTATCTTTCTACAGACTTTTAGTCTGGGTGTGCCTTCACTGACAAAGTACATAGCTTGTGGGAAGAATATTGTTGGGTCATATTTTGGTAATTCTTTCAGCCAGTCTTTACCCTTTTAGTTGGGAATTAATAATATTACATTAGGGTGGGGTTTCTTTGAGTAATTTTATACTCCATGGAATTGCAAGTCGATCTTTTATCTTTCTTCACAAACTAAAACTTAAAATTCCCACTTTTAATTTTTTTTTTTAAATCACTCATTGACTTCTCACATAGATTTGTTTTCTGACTTTTCTGCCAGCTTCCCTTTGGTCAACTTTGGTTGTTCTCCTTGCTTAGTCTGTTCCTTAAATAAGTTCCATTGCTTGCTATCTAATCTCACTGCTCTTCTTTCCCTTACTGCCTTGTAAATCTCACAGCTTAAGCAACTGTGTCAGTATAAATGATCTCTAGCTCTGCATCACCAATTCTGACCTCCCTCTCAGACTCTAGTCTGGTATTTCAAAAAACCTATGTGTAAAAATGCATTCCAACATATTTTGTAGATAATCATACATTCTATGGCTGCCTGCTAACTGTCCGTAGTACCATCTATCCCCAACTCCTCCCTTTGATGACAATTAAAAAAATGTTTCCAGATATCGTCAAACATCCCGTGGGGGACAGAAGTCACCACTGGTTGAGAACCACTGACTCAGAATCTGCTTATAGAAGAGATAAATAAATTTTACATAAAATTGAAAAATAAAAATCTGCCCTAATATTACAGAAAAACCAGCTCACCTTTTCAGCTAATTCTTCTGCTGTTACCTTTGGATCGTATGGAATAGGATCGCCTAAATAAGTTCTTAACTTCACTGGAAAACCTCCATACATGGGAGCAAATGGATAGCGGAATTTTTCATAAAGCCACCTAAATAATCCTGTTTTAAGGCAAACAAAATTATTTTAAGTGGTTAAGCATTCAGATCATGTAATTGTAAACTTTATTATAAAAGAGTTGACAGGAAGGTAGTGGAAAATATCACATCCTGGTAATTAGTATAACTTTTTAAAAATGAACTTCCCATCAATTGTAACAAATATGCCATATTAATATAAGAAATCACTAAGCGGGAAACTATGATGTGGGAAGAAGAGATATAAGAACTATACTTGCTATTCGAGTTTTCTGCATATCTAAAACTGCACCTCAAATTCCGTAGATTTTTTGTTTAGTAGACTTAATTTTTAAATGAGCTTTTAAAACTAATTTTTAAATTTTTTTTTAAAATAAGCCAATTACTATCATTACAAAAAAAATTAAACATTGTATCTCAAATCTAGAAGCTAAAAGTCTAGAGGCTCATAAGTAAGTGACTTATATAAACAAAAGAAAAACATAAAATAAATGTATATAAATTAAGATTACAGTGCAGTAATTAAGTAGATTGAAACATTACTGTAAGTAAGGAAAGCAAGATACATCAATAATTAATAACACTAAAGGACAAGTGTGAAATTTTGTAACATTAAATTAAAAAGTAGCAAATAAATAGGAGATAAACTGATGGTTTATATTTAAGATGTTAGCAACAAAAACATTTATCATCAAAAAAATCCAAAATCTGGCAAGCCACATGGAATATTAGTCAAGGATTATTCAGAATGTTGCAATGATTATTTACTTAGGGAAACACAAAATACATCCTAAGATCCAGACTAACATTTAGAAAAGATCACAAGAAAGTACTTTTTCTTTTATTTTCAAGGCAGAAAGATACAGTAAGACAAAAATATTTTCTAACATGGGCACGTGTCATTCCACAAATGCCCAATCAGCAAGGACTCGGCCAGACCAAAGGCAGGAGCCCAGAACTCATTCTGTGTGTCCCCCATGGGTAGCAATACCTGAGAGCCTGAGCACTCACTGCTCCCACGTGGGAGTGCATCAGAAGGAAGCTGGACTCAGAAGCAAAGCCAGACTTGAACTCAAACATGGGATGTAGGCAACCCAAGTGACATCATGAAGACTATGCCAAACAACCATCCAAAAGGCTAATTTCTTATACGTTCAGCCTTGAAGTGACAAAAAATAAAGAAGTAGCCAAAATAATTTTTTAAAAATTTTAATTAAAGAAATATAATTTCTGGAGTAAGTTCTGGTTTGTCATTTAAATTCTAAAGAATTAGCAGACAGAAAATTTGAATGTTTCTACAAAAAAAGCTAAAGATGAAATCAAACTCTTCACATTAATTAAAAAAAAAACTGCCTAAAACAACATAAGGAAATATCAACAAAATATCAACATTATACATAAAAAGAGTGATAGCAGCTTAAAACTCTTCCAAGAAGGGCTTAAATGTAGATGAAAAAATTAATAATAGTGCTAGAGATAAAAATAAAATCCATCAAATATACAAACTAACAAGAACAAACATCACCAATTTCAAAATAAGAAGATACCAATAGTGCAGAGAAAAAACATTTCTAATTCTTATCAATTTTGCTTTCAATTAATAAATTAAAGGTAGATAAAAAGATTTTTCAAAGTCATATGTTAAGCTTCAAAATATCAAAAGGTAACAGAATATTAACTAAAGCAAACGATGCCTTCTTATGAGGTTAACTGCAGTCCAATATTCTTTGTCAATGATTTTTAAACTTGTAATTTCTGCAGGGTTGAGATCAAAGGACAGTTTGGGCACTACATAAATTTTCTCTAAACTTCAACAACATGGCTTAAAAAAATAAAGTAGAAAACTCACTCTGAAACTTTAAAAGCACACTACAAATAAACTTCAGTATGTATATGATACTTTTAACAAGAATAAATCTAAGAATTGCTATTACTTAGAATCGATAATTAGACTTAAAATGGAAAAGCATCTAAATAGAATCTGCATTTTCTAAAGTTAATAATTCAATAGGATTTCTTGTGGGTTTCAAAAGCCCCAATATTGTAAATATCAGAGTAATTAAAAATCATATGAGTAAGAACTTACTTGTTCCTCCAAGTGATCTAAATCCTTCTCGTATATTTTGTGTAAACATAGGTATAATGGGCTAAAGAAAAGAATTTGAATTAAAAAGAAAATAAATTAAACATGTCAATGTCTCCATTGAGTCACTAATGCAAAATTTTGCAGATCTGTTTGAGATTGTGAAAATAAAATATTTTAAACAGAAAGGTATATCTGACTAATAGGATTTATCAAACTAAATTCAATTTGATCATTTATAAAAACATAAATTGGAAACAACACCCTCCAGTGGTAATATGTAATATTTCACTATCCAATTTTCCTATCTGCTGAAGCTTTAAAACCCAAAGTAGTGACTATATCAATCACTAATTTCATTGAGTAACATGAATGTGTGAAATAAATTGATTTTAGTGGGCTACTGAATATGCACTTAATACAGAAAAATTACAAGATAAAAATTCTAAAGAAAATTAATACAAATTTAAACAATACATTTTGGTAAGATGCTGTCTTAGAATTGGTGAGATACCAATTTAGGTGAGCCTATTATAAAATATTCAATATCAATGAAAAGTAAATGTAATATTCTCTGATCTACCCCCAAAAGGAAAACCATAACTATTAATATTAAAGGATTCTGCCCTCAAATTCTTGATTTTTGCTTTTCCTCCAGTACCAAGGACTAAGTACATTTTTTAATAGTGGACACCTTAGTTAAATGCCATAAAATAACTGAGTATCATGTAGGGAGTCTGTAGCACCGTGAATACTGAAGTACACAGAAAACTGAAGAGAGCACTTTTAAATAAACTAAATCAAATGTTTTAAAACATATGATAACATGTATGTACACAGGTCAAGTATCACATTGCTTACAGTCAACTACAGTATAGGCCTGATACAGGACAACCAGCCTTAAGAGAAGTGTTTCAAACCTTAAGTAAGGTTATCTTTCACAAAACCATTCCTACTCAGCACTGGAATGTAAAACGATGGATTGAAGGAAATTGGCACAGGCCTATCTTTCTTTATAAAATCACTATAACTAAGTGACCATTCATTTACTTTCTCCCTTTTCTTTGCAGAAGAAAAACATCTAATGTCATAGAGGGGCATCATTTTGTCCATAGTTGCATTCCTAGATCTCTAGAACAGTGCCTGAACTACAATAAGACAGATGAACTAAAAAAGCAATGGAGAAACAAAGCAAAAGATGATATTCCTAATGCAGGATTGAATGAAGAGTGTACTGTCTGAATCAAAAGTCAGAAATAGACAGCAATAATCTCAAAATCAGGTAAAAAGAGAGAAGGCAAGTAAAGAAAAGTAGTCATGTGAGAATTTAAATCCTGATACAGTTAATTCACAATATTAAAATATAAAAGATAAAGTGCCCCAAATTCTTCTGTTAAAATTCTAATTATGATTTAGGAAATCACTGGTTTTGTAAAATAAAATGATGGCTGAAGTCCTAATGTTTTAGTCATAAAAATGTTGCTAGGCACATTGAAAACTTAGAATGGCTAAGAAAGAACACAAATTTTTCAGTTCATATGAATATGTGCACCATTTTTCCTGCTCTGATCAGGACAGCTGGATTTACTTCTAACAACTAGCATGACACCAGGAGTCCATATTTAAGTGTACACTTTATTATGAAGGCTAAACATCATTCTTTAAGTAGCTAACTCTCCGAAGGCTGGACGTTTGTAGAATCTGCTAAATAAAAGTTGACCCTAGCAGGCTCAGTATTCGAGGCAGTGTCTTGGCATACAGTTTCTACCAAGCTTGCATCCTTAAGTCAAAAGTATCACCTTAAAACAAGTTGCTTTGATAATAAAATAATTCATTCCTCTTCTTGTGCATCCTTAGTAAACAAAGTCGTTACATAAGTAACCTAGAACACTATATATATGTGTACACACATGTGGATGTGCAATTACTAAAACTATTTTTGGAAAATCAGTTCAACATCATTTTGCAGTCTTACCTCTGCTACAAAATAGGAGAATCACTGGAGCAGATACTTATCCTGTCTAAGTCTCACTTTATTCATGTGTAAAATTAGAATAAATAATAATTATACTCATTACAAAGAATCTTATAGATTAAATAAACAATTGTATTAAAACAAAAAGTTCTCTTTTATACCTGTTATTTATTTTTCAACTAGATTAAATGGACTAAATTATGTTCCACTATATTTAGATATGAAATTATTTAAAACTTCCTATCAAGGTCATACTTCTCAAGCTCACAAAATAACAATAGCACATATCAAAAAGTCTATCACTTCAGAAATGCTTTAAGTATTTTCTACAAATATCTGAACTATCAATGACAATCTGGATTTCCCCTCTTAAACTGTTTTACTCTCCCACAATTGAAACGTAGTTCATCCTTCAACAATTTATACAGAGCTTATAATAATTTTTGTGAAACCTATAAAGGGATTTTTCCCAAATGGGATATTCATGTCATTTACATATGCATACATACACTACTCAAAGAGTTCATGGTAGACCTGGGAGGCCCTTCAATCTTGGATGTCAGCAGACCCACTGTGAAATGTCACCAGGGATGGCTACGGTCCCTGTTGGCCCAAGTCCTAACCTGTGTGCTCTCCTTGGCTGCTGACATTGCTGAGTGAGTAGATACTTCAAGCCTTCCCTCTCTCTGTAACTGAGTCTCTTGGTCTGTAACATTGGAATAATTAAATATGTCACCTCCTTATTAGATGAATATAAGAGTAAGCCATCAAAAATGTTACAAAATGGGCCTGGCATGGTGGACTAACAGCTAACGTCCTCGCCTTGCATGCACCAGGATCCCATAAGGGCACTGGTTCTGATCCCAGAGGCCCTACTTCCCAACCAGCTCCCTGCCTGCAGCCTGGGGAAGCAGTCAAGGACAGCCCAAAGCCCTGAGATCCTGCAACCATGAGGGAGACCTGGAAGAAGTTCCTGGCTACTGGCTTTGGGTTGGTGCAGCTCTGGCTGTTGCAGTCACTTGGGAAGTGAATCAGCGGACAGAAGATCATCCTCTCTGTATATCTGACTTTGCAATAAAAATAAATAAATCTTTAAAAAATTGTTTTTAAATGTTGGTTTGACCTAGTATTTATCAAATTTATGCTATTTTGTTAATCCATGGCATTGAAGATTTTAGGCTTTTTAAAAACTTGTAAGAAACTGTATCTTAAACTGTCTGAAGTTTCATATAAAACCCTTAATTAAATTACATAGTAACTTTGAAGAACTGGAAGAGTTCTTTCCTTTATATCCTTTCTTTTTTTCAGGCCATCTTCGAAGCAGTGTGTTGCTTACAACTGTAAATTTAAAGATTAACAATTAGAATTCCATGGTGAATTTATGTGATTTCAAACATTTATGTTTTCTTTATCTTAAACTTTTAAAGAAATAATTCTTTCAAAATTTAAAGTTGAAAAATAAATCACCTTCATCGGTTTTTAAGCTTTCATCATTGCTTTAACATACATTATATTCATTATTTTTAATATTTGTATAACTCCGTATCTGTTTTAGAATTCTATTAATGTTATAGTCTCAACTGTTTTTTCCTAGACTGGTGCTAAAGACTTTTTATACGTAACTGAAACTTGATATAAATCAATTTTCAATATCATTATTAATATAAAATTGAAGTCCAAAAGTTGCTTTTCACTAACATTTAACAGTTTCTGTTTTAAAAAGTCAATTATCAAACAACACTTAAAACCTACTCAATGTTGGTCATTATAGTAGCAACATGTAATAATGACAGCCTTGGGCCCGGCACGATGGTCCTGTGGCTAAACCCTCCCGTTGTACTCTCTGGGATCCCATATGGGTGCCAGTTCATGGCTGGCCACTCCACTTCCCACCCAGCTGCCTGACTGTGGCCTGGAAGGTGGTAAAAAAAATGACCCAAAGCTTTGGGACCCTGTGCCCATATGGGAGATCTGGAAAAATCTCCTGGCTCCTGGCTTCGGATCAGCTCTGCTGTGGCTGTTGTGGCCACCTGGGGAGTGAACCAGTGTACAGAAATCTTTTTCTTTGTACCTCTTTCTCTGTATAAAACTGCCTTTCAGTAAAAATAAATAAATATTTTTTAAAAAATTGACAGCCTTATCTGTCTATAATCTACCATAGGACAATACTGGTTAAAATTTTAATGCTCCTACTAAACATTTGCACAAATACATTAATTTGTATTAATGTAATATCATCAAGCCATCATAGCAATAACTTTCCAAATACTGTGGGTTAGAATTAATCCAGTCTCTCCATGTTAATCAACAGCAGTCTATACTGGCAAGAGGGGAAGTCAATCAATGAGTGAATACAGGTCTCCACGTGGCAGTGGTCGGACAAAAATTCTAAAGTATGAGAGTTACTTTCGCAGGGAAAGAAAAGAAAGAACCCTCTCAAAGGTACTACAAGTCCTTCTGACAAACTAAAATGAAAACAGAAATCTAAAAAGAAATTTTAAATAAGTAACAGATAAGTGTTTGATAAGACAAGAATAACATGAGGTCAAAGCATTGAGAAATACTTCCAAACGGCAAAAGAACAAAATGATATTCACATTCTCCATTCTATTAAGCGGAATGATGTGAATCCCAAAAGATTTAACAATTTTATAGACAAGTTCATTTGCTCGTGAAGTCTTAAAACACACAATTACATTAGGAGCTATTTACCTCTATTTCTCTTATTAGATAGCTCATTACATTTGCTAGTAAAAAATGACAGCAATCATATATTACTTGAGTCTTATTGTTATAAACATTGATCACATATCAATGAAATTAAATGGAACTACAATGAAACAAAAAACCACCACTCAAATCTATCATACCTTAGGGTTAAAATATACAAAACTGAACTGTTGCATTTATGAAAAAATATACATATGTATAGCTGAAGGAATTAGTTATTTATCCAAAATTATAACTTTGATTAAAGAAAGCTAGATTGTAAAATATAAAATAAAATTTTGCAGGTGTTTCCCAGATTTCAGGATTGATTATTTTTTAATGTATGTCTTCAAATGGTAGCAATATTGCTCTATAAGTACTTTATAGCTACATAAAATACATGTTAATATATTACAATGAAAGGACCTAAGTTTCTATACATACTGGCTCATTATTTAAGCATTTATTTTAACTAAATGCCTTATTGTTAAATAACTTGATATAACTCACCACTTTTGCATCAATCGCGACCTGAGCAAAGCCTTTACGATTACCCCATACAATGTTGTAGGTCTCATCACTAATTAAAGCTTCTCGAACTCCACCTGGTGAAATAGCTAACAAGTGACCACTCCTTAGAATTTCAACACATTTTTCTCTTGGTCCATGGAGAGCACAAAATACATCAAGCAATAAACTAAATCCTGTTTAAAAAAAGAAAAAGGTGCACAAAGATATACTTAGGTACTGCTGATTCTCATCATTCAAAAACAAAAATCCTCACAGTCTACAAAATCAATTACCTATACTTAAACCAGTGAACTTCCTATTTTTTTTTTAAATCAACAAAAACTCTAGAGGTTAACATAAGATTAATACTGGTTGTGAAATAACAGCTGTATCTTATTGGGTATCCACAATTTATCACTTTACAGATCACCTAGTGCTCTGGTTACTTTGCATATTCAAACTCTCAATTAAAATTCACAACAATTTTGGGTGCTAGCTTGTGTCCCAGTTGCTCCACTTTCCATCCAGCTCCCTCTTTGTGGCCTATGAAGGCAGTAGAGGATGGCCCAAAGCCTTGGGAGCTTGTGCCCACCCACATGAGATCAAGAAGCTCTTGGCTCCTGGCTTTGGATCAGCTCAGCTCTGGCCATTGCAGCCTTTATGGGGAGTGAACCAATGGATGGAAGCTCTTCCTGTCTCCTCCTCTCTGTGAATCTGATCTGCCCTTCAAATAAATAAATAAATAAATAAATTTTAACAAAGGAATAATGTCCTTTTCTTTGTTACTGGTTTTTATTTACTAACTTCCAATTACAAAATAAATCACAGCAAAATTAAACTACAAAAATTAGTACCTTGGGCCCGGGGGCGAGGCCTAGTGGCTAATGTCCTCGCCTTGCATGTGCTGGGATCCCATATGGGCTCCGGTTCTAATCCCAGCAGCCCCACTTCCCATCCAGTTCCCTGCTTGTGGCCTGGGAAAGAAGTCAAGGACAGCCCAAAGCCTTGGGACCCTGCACCCATGTGGGAGACCCGGAAGAGGTTCCTGGTTCCCGGCTTCGGATCGGCGCAGCGTGGGCCGTTGTGTTCACTTGGAGAGTGAATCATTGGAGAGAGGATCTTTTTCTCTGTCTCTCCTCCTCTCTGTATATCTGACTTTGTAATAAAAAATAAATACATCTTTTTTAAAAAAATCAGTATCTCATAGAAGAGCTGATCATATGAAAAATCAAGTATCTTCTTTACCAAGACTAAAACTTCTGGCAAAAATTACAAGCTAATTTTTCAAAAGTTAAAGTTCAGAATCTATCTTAGAAGTGTATCTGCCCAGCACATACTACAGCACATTAACCTTCCACTTGCAATGCTTGCATTCCATATGGGCACCAGTTCTAGTTTCCGGAACACAAATTGGTGCCCAATGGGATCCCAAGGCAAGGACTTAGCCACTGAGCTAGTTTGCTGGACCCAGCCGCATTACTTTCAATCCAGTTCATTGCTTAATGCCTGGGAAAACAGTGGAGGATGGCCCAAGCTCTTGAGCCACTGCACCCACATAGGAGACTGAGAATCTGTTCCTGGCTTCTGTTGCAGCCATTTGGGGAGTGAACCAGGGATGGAAGATTCTATGTCCTTCCTTCTCTCTGCAAATCTGCCTTGCAAATAAAAATAAATATGCTTTTAAAACTGTCTACAAATTATATAAAATCTATTTTTAAAACTAATTAAAATTAAAATTTAAAGATTTTTTTTTAAAAAATTAGGATTTCTTAAAAAAATACCTGTTAATAAAGAAAGACATTCTGCAGCATTTTGGGTCATGGTGTTTTTATCTTTAGATGCACTGCTTACACAGGTATTCTCAAATTAGAGTTCCAAGTGTACATCCTTCAAAAGTAAAGGCTCAAAGATAAAATCCAATGTATAATGTGATCATAACTAATATTTCTATAGCATGTGTACAATGAGAGTTTACCTGGAATTTTAAACACAAAGTGATCAGCTACTACTCGGCAAGTTCTGCCTTTTTGAATAAAAATTTTAGCCATGAAATAGTAAAAATCTATGGGAATAGCTCCATGGTAAAATATTATAAGAGCTGGTCCTTCTTCTGGTATTTTTTCCATTCCATGGACTTCATAACCTGTTGGAAAGATAAAACACAGATACTTAGGGGATGATTATTACCTTGTACTGACCATAGGTCAGTAATCTTAGAATCTTAGTCTTACAAAAGTTCATGAACCTCCGCGGTTCTCTTCTTCCCTCTCTTTTCCCTTCCGTTTCTCTCTTGAATAAATCAGTCCCACAGTCATTAGGTGGGAATGAGTGAAGAGGTGGTCTGGAAGGAGGGTTGGTGCCCAAGCATGGTGACTCAACACTAGAGCACTGAGGAGAGCATCCAAACAGGAGCTTCTCTCTGTGTTTTGGGGCTGAGAGAAGGACAAGATCCAAGGAGAGCCTCAGTGAAACAGGGGTGGGACGGGAGGGCAATCAGACACAAGTGTCCAGCACAGTTATCAACATGCACAAGTGGCCTGACATAAAGCATCACAACCTAAGCAGGTAAGGAGACAGCATGCACAGGATATGAGAGCCCAATCAGAATAAGAAGACATCCAGGAGTGACATTTGGTGGCAAAAATGGCATACTGGTTCCAGAACAGACCAGAGGAGCCTACACACTACACGCCAGTGTGCCAGGTTTCTTACTGTTGGAATAAGGGTTATAACTGCAGAAAAGGAGAAAACTAAGACAAATTCTGCGGTCACAGAGAGCACTACTCTCTCCCTAACCATGAGAAAAAGTGAGATAGTTAACAAACCCTCACATTTCTTGACCATGCCAGAGAGCTGAGGTTATCCACAACCAGGTGGACTGAGCTCCCGGGGTGAGAAGCCCCTCTCAGCAAATACAACAACTGAAGAAATAAGGAGGAAGCTGTACCCTGAAAGCGGGTGAGTAGAACAGAGCTGAAATGGTAACAAATTAAAGGTCAAGTACAGTCAACAATGCATGCAGAATCCTTAGAAACCCAAGAAACAAATCAAGAGGTCCACACTCACTGCTTAGACTGCTTAGCGCTTCTCCTCACGTGTCAAGAGTGCTCAAAGAAAAGTTAGGTGTATGAAGACAAGTGCAGGTTCCATGGTCTGCCATGGAGTGCAAATGCCAGAGCCGAGCCTGCTCAGAGGCTCATACGGAGCAGCGGACAACGCATTCAGTGAAAAACTGGGCAAACGGAGACTCTAAGGTGGACTATGTCAATCAGTGGATTCTGCAGTGACTTCATCGTGTTTGGAGTGGTGAGACTGGAAGCAATTCATAACTGTTTAACTATTAAAACCACTTGAGCAAGAGCATGCCCCACATCGGGGAACTGAGATGGGTGGGAGGCTGGGTAAGGTTTCTCCCTTTATCTTTCCCTTTCCCTCAGACACAGAAAAAGAAGAGCATGTGGAAACAATAGTCTTATCCACTTTCCTGTAGACCTTGAACCTTTGCGCCCTAATGAACCATGTAAAGATTGTCACACACACACAAAAAAGAAAGAAATGAAAAGTTAGGCATGAGGCAGGAGACTACAGAGGTACAGAGATTTCCTGCTAGAGTACAAGAACAAAATCCACCCACTTAGTAGAGTTTGGCTTATACATAAAAAGCCTGTCAGACATGGGGAGAGACAAAGGAAAGGTCTTTATTCCCTCTAAGAAAAGGGTATGAGGAAGGGACGGGTACAGTGCAGGCTAATCCTCCACCCTGCGGCACTGGCATCCCATATGGGCAGCGGCCGCTCCATTTCTGATTCCGTTCTCTGCTTACTGGCCCAGGAAAGCAGCAGAGGAGGGTCCACATCCAGGGGGCCCTGCACCCACATGGGAGATGTCAAAGAGGTCCCTGGCTCCTAGTTTTGGATCAGCTCAGCTCTGGCCATTGTGGTCACTTGGAGTGGAACAATGGACAGAAGACTTTATCTCCCTCTCTCCTCTCTGTGAGTTGTTAAAAGCTTTCCAATAAAAATAAATAATCTTAAAGGGGGGGGCAGTATGAGATGCTTCAGATAATTTATGGAAAATGAAATTAACATACACATTCAATAATACATTTTGAAATTCACATGTGGTTTTCTCATGCATTTTCTATGAAGTTTCTGCAGCTCCCTCATATATGCAAAAGGTATCTGACAGAACTTCACTCCCATATCCCCATGATCCCAATGTCAAGTAAAAGACCACCAGTTCCAGGGAAAGGGTAGAAGCAAAAAAAGAAGAAAAAAAGTCTTTAGGAGGAAGGGGATGCGCAACAGAAAACTCATTGAATCCCAGGCCCTAAAATGACATAAAGCAGAGGATCCACCACCACTAAGAGGATGAACTTGCTCTTACCAGAAAATCTCTACCTCCACAAGACAAAGTTTGCCTGTCACAGGGAACAGAGAAATGCTGAGAAAGTATGGCCTCTGGGTTCAGGCAAATGGGACCTCATAAGATGTTAGCTAAATCTGAAGAACCAAGGAATGTCTTTCACCTCCTAGAACCCTCACATGTAGTAAGCAAGGAACTCTCTCCTGGGGCCATGGAAGAACCATGTGAAACAGGCACACATGCAGCAGGAACACTAGCAAAGTGAAACTTTTTGGTGATCCAAGTCTAATAATACATATAAAAGAGCAGCTGGAGTTTGAAGCCTGTGCTGAATGGAAGGTAAACACAACAATAAAAACCAATGCAATTCAACTACTCCGTAGTATGGATCAACCTGCAGTCACTCCTTTGGGGGGTGAACCAGTGGACACAAGATCTTTCTTTCTTTCTCTCTCTCTATAAATCTGACCTTACAATGAAAATAAATAAAATCTTTAAAAAAAAGAGAATAACTCATAAATTATACATAATTATATATAAACTATACATATTAAATCTTTTGAGTGCCTACCTAATTAAACCATTGCATTACTTTTGAATAAATTATGCTGGTATAAGGTAAACATAAACAACATTTTCAAATAATGCCATCAATTCCTTTGTTAAATAAAATTAAATACAAATAAAAATTAAAGCAAAGTATAACATAAATATATATGTGCATATATATATACATATATATAACACAAGATAAAACAAACAAATCTGAGCTCCAAAGACAAACATTTTTTACTTCCCTAAAATGAAAGCTATATATGTCATTTCTTTATAGTGGTGCAAAAATGCATTTTTTTAAAGCTTTTTAAAAATCATCTAAATATCTTACTGAAGACTCGTTTTCAATATATTAATTTTCAGGGAAAAAATTAAATATAAACAGTACAACTTTTTAAAAACGTCATCCAGAGTACAGCATGGCAGCCTCAAGGTTAAAATCCTTGCCTTGCAGGTGCCGGGATCTCATATGGGTGCCGGTTCTAATCCCAGTGACCCTGCTTCCCATCAAGCTCCTTGCTTGTGGCCTGGGAAAGCAGTAGCAGACAGCCCTAAGTCCTGGGATCCTGCAACCATGTGGGAGAACTAGAAGAGGCTCCAGGCTTCCAATTGGTGCAGCTCCAGCTGTTACAGCCACTTGGGGAGTAAATCATCAGATGGAAGATCTTCCTCTCTGTCTCTCCTCCTCTCTGTATATCTGACTTTGCAATGAAAATAAATAAATCTTTTAAAAAAAATTTTTATACATAAAGGCTGTGAGCAACAGGGCAGTATAGGCTTCACTGTCCCAGCGCTAAGTGAACTACTTAGAGATGTAGGTATTTGAAAACATCAAGTAACTATCTTTGAGGTAGTATAGGCTACACGAAGCATAGCACATTAAAAAAAAAAACACAGAATGCTTTGAAAAACAAAGTTATATAGTCTGAGGGTAAATATATAACTTCAAAAAACAAAGATTGGAAAATATTTTGTATAAAATGCTGATTTAAAATAGTAAAAATAGATCATGAACAAGTTACTGTTCACAGGCAGGTATAAGGTGAAACCATTAAGGAAGTGCCTGGGAGCTCATGTTGTGACACAGCAGGTCAAGTCCCCACTTGCAACACCAGCATCCCACATCAAAGTCATGGATCGGGGACTGGCTGCTCCCCTTTCAATCTGACTTCCTACTAATGAGCAAAAGATGTCCCTGCCACCCACAGTCGAAACCAGGATAAAGTACCTGACTTGTGACTTCAGCCACTTCCAGACGTGGCTGTTACAGTCATTTAGGGATTAAAGTCACACATGGAAAACTTCTCTCTCCCCTTACCTCTCCTTTTATCTCTCTATTGCTCTGCCTTTCAAATAAATAAATAAACAAACAAATAAATAAATATTCTTTTAGAAAAAGAGAGATGGCATTAAAAACTATTTTTTAGGTTTTTAAAAATTGAAATACAAAAAAAAAAGAAACAGAGTGGGATACCCACATTTTACACCAGGTTGAATTCTTGCTCTCAGTTTCCACCTTCTCTAAAGAGTACTCTGGCAGACACCAGGTGATAGCTCAGGTACTCTGCCACCCACATGAAAAACCTAGACTGAGCGCCAGGAGCCACGCGTCAGCCTGGCCCAGTCCTCGCTATGGCAGGAATCTGGAAAGTGAACCAGAGGATAGTAGATCCCTGACTCTTTCTCTCAATAAAAAGTGATTAAAACTTATTTAAAGAAAATTTAACTACTGTTACATAATGGCCAACATATCAAATTACTTACAGGATTAAAAGAATCCCATGTATTCATTAAGTCTTCATGAAGACTTAGTGAAATGAAAAACAGTACTATGCTACGCCTAAGGAAATACAACAGTAACTGATGCTTGGTGGGGTCTGGGTTCAGTCCTGGCTCTACTATCAAGCACAGCTTTCTGGTAATGAAACCGTGGGAGGCAGCAGTAAGTGCTTCAGTGCTGGGGTCCCACATTGTAGACCCAGGCTCAGTTCCCAGAGCCTGGCTTCAGCCTGGCCCAACTCCAGTTGCCACAGGCACCTGAGTGAAGCAGCAGCAGATGGGAGATCTCTCTGTGTCACTCTTTTAAACACACGTTTTTAAAAAAAAAATCTTTATACTGGTGAAATCAAATTTACTCCAATAGAATAGAAACAAATGCTAAGAAGCTAGAGTATTTTAAAGACACTTTGTGGGGCTGGCATTGTGGTATAGTGCATTAAGCGGCTGCCTGAAATGTCAGGCTCCCCAGGTTGGAGTAGCAGTTCCTATCCTGCTCCTGAGCTTCTGCTCTGTCCTGACGATGCTCCTGTGAAAGCACAGGATGACCTGAGTGCTTAGACCCCTGTCATCCACGTGGGAGACCCTCCAAGTTCCTGGCTTCAGTCACTTCACGGAACAAAGTCACAAACCCTTGCCTTTTAAATAAATAAATAAATCTTTAGGGGAGAAACAGTCTCATTTTTTATATAGATTCGTTTGCCAGCCCCTGAAAAAAAAAAAAAAAACACAGTTGTTGTTCAGTTTTAATTAGATTCTTATTCTTTCAGATGTTCTAAATTTTAATTTTACTATTTTGGCTTATAATAACAGTCTACAGTGTTGTCATTCTTTGCCAACAGAATTTAATGTGTAAGGGGAAAATCATCTTAAGAAAAACACACACATATGTACAATTCAAAAAAAACAGACAAGGCATTGTGCTATCGTTTTTACTATCGTTTCAGTAAAATGGAATGAAAATGTCTTCACTGTTGCCCACGTGGCTAGCATCACAAAGACACCAAAGCATGCATGTTTACCATGCCAAACTGCCGCATGTCCGTCCCACAGGGTCGCCACCGTTTTCCTTGCACCATCCCACAAATTATGAGAATAAGCTTCTTTCAACACTTTCTTCCTCTTATAAATGTGCAAGAAAATAATGGTAAGGTAGAGAAGAAAGATTGTGAAGTATGGAAGTATCAAAAGTATTAGCGGTGTAAAAACCCACAAGAGATAATTTGCAAAATTCAAGTAGTCCTCTAATTGTTCCACACCAAGCCATTCTTCAAGGATATGAATGAAACAAGTCAGATAGGGGGCAGAATCCTGTCCTGCACCACAGGTTTGATTTCTATCTGTCATTTTTCCTTAGGTAAAAGTGACAAATTCAGTCTCTTTCTTCATTGCCGTAGCAGGTCTTTAATTTTGGCACTGTAAGGGGAAAAAAAAACTTAATGTTAGTCTCTTCAAGGTCAAATGCTTTTAGTCTACATAAATACTATTTAGAACCTTTTTTTGATTTGCTGTTAATAATTTATTTTGTTGCAGATTTAAATGCAAACACTATAAGGTTTCATCTGTTCACTCATGCAGTACATTGATTTAGTTTTGAAATAACATCCAAGTTATACTTAAAATAAAGCAGACAAAAATGAAGTTTTGGGCAGATCTTAGTAACTGTTCTTCACAAAAGAAAACATCAACATCTGGTCAATAAAAGTACACTTGATTTTTTAAGGCAAGAATAACACATATTTTTGAGTATTGGTTTACACAGAAATTTACTTAAAGCTATCTGTTCTAATGATTTTACGTAATAAAATGTTATCAGTACTTTTTTTTAAAAGATATATTTATTTTTACGGAAAGTCAGATTTCTCAGAGAGAAGGAGAGACAGAGAGAAAGATATTCCATCCTCTGGTACACTCCCCAAGTGGCCACAATGGCTGAAGCTGAGCCGATCTAGAGCCAGGAGCAAGAGCTTCTTGCAGATCTCCCACGCAGATGCAGGGTCCCAAGGCTCTGGGCCATCCTCTATTCTACCTTCCCTGGCCACAAGCAAGGAGCTGGATGGGAAGTGGAGCAGCCGGTACACGAACCGGCACACGCTGAGGATCCCAGTGTAAGCAAGGCAAGAATTTAGCCACTAGACTATTGCCCTGAGCCCTCTCACTACTGTTTTTGTCTTATAGTCACTAAGATTTCACTTAAATTTATGTGAGTAAAAGTATTGCTGTCCATTTTATGAACACACTCTCTAAATGTCACTTGACTTACCAGAAAGCAAATGTCTTGTCACCAGCTACAATGTGGATGCTCTAGAAAACATAGTAAAATGTTATTAAGTACACTTAAAAGGATAATCATGAATTCTTAAAGTTAGAACTTTTATAAATAGCAAAAGATATTTGACAAATGTAACGGCTCCACACTAACACATCACATGATCACATTCATGCTACTACTGTTCAGTGAGGACAACCACTTAGTCTCACTATAGAAAGGTCCACTTAATAAGCTGAACAATACAAAGAGTTTTCCTTCTTTAGAGAGAAAAAAAAAAAAAAAAACGAAGATGTATACTTAACCAGTACTCCTTTTTTAAAGTTTTTTTTAATTTATTTATTTTCATTCCAATTGAAAGAGACTTTCTATCCTCAACTTAACTCCTCGAATACCTGCAAAATCAAGGCTGGGTCAGACAAAAGTCAGGATCCTTGAACTCCAGGTCTCTCGTGTGGGTAGACAGAACTCCACTACTCAAGCCATCCTTTGCTGCCTCCCAGGAGACACCAGCATGAAGCTGGTGTGGAAGCAGGGCAACTGGGACTTGTACCAAGCTCTCCAGTCAAGGAGGCAGACATCCTACATTCTTCTGTTTTGTCTTGTGAATATAACTATACCACTGGGAAAAATTCTTGTTGAAAAATTCTTGCTGCCCTGCCCTCTGGATGACCAGACGTTAATAACTTTGCCAGATAAGCTGATGGTCAAACATGATATTTGGTGATACAGCTTTAGCCCTATGACCATAATTTTCCACATAGGATTTACTTCTTCTAATCATATTTTTCAATTATTAGAGATATCATTATTCTATGTTACATGATCTTAATGAAGAGGATTTCAAATACTTCATGGCAAAACACGAAAATGAATAAAGAAAAGGGATGGAAACTGAGGAAAAGACACGTAAGAGCAATTCTTTGGTTGTCTTTCTGTCAAGATTATCTTATTAAAGGGCGTATTAGCAGAGTATACTCTGACTTGTTCTTCCAGGGATGGAGAATTTAGTATCAACTCCTTGTAACCAATAGCACATAACCTGTGTAAAATCTGGGGCTCTTATAGCAACAAAACGTGAACACGGCATACTTTCAGCCCATATGCTAGGCCTGCCGTATTTATATATTTTAGTCAATCTAAGAATCAAATCACCATAGGTCTGATTTTCCAGTAAAACACAGGAAATGTAATACTTTTAAAAACAGAAGCTTTTCTAGTAGGATAGCTATATTTTCTTAGAAAGACTAATAAGTTGATGTGAAAAATTATAATCTTCACACACTGTTCCCAGGGATGTAAAATGGTGTGACCACTGCAGAAACTAGTTTGGCAATTGCTCAAGAAGTTATTCCCGAGTCACCATACAGCAGCAATTTTACTCCTGGATATGTGAGCACACCTCTAAAAAGCTTGCAGAAAAACAGAACTAAAAGATCATTTTATGTTGATGCAAAACAAAGTTAAAATCCATGAAGGTTTTCATATTACACATTTTTAATGAAGTTTCTGAAGTACCTTATATACTCAAGAAAACTAAAAGCATAGATTCACACAAAAATTTAAATATACATGTTCACAATAGTATCATTCATAGCAGGTAAAGAGCCTATAAACTGATGAATGGATAAAGCAAATGTGATCTAGCCACAGACTTTTATTCAGCCATACAAAGGAATGGAGCACAAGTGCATGCTAAATAAATCTTAAAAACAACTAGATACAAAAAGTCATGTAATGTATGATTCTGTTACATGAAAGACCAAAATCATGCAATGCATAGAGACAGAAAAATTAGTGGTTGCTAGAGTTGGTGAGGGGAGACTGGAAACAATGAAATGTTCTGGAATTGTAGGAATTGCTGCACAACCCAGCAAATAGAGCTGAAAATAGGTGAGCTGTAGAGAAGTACTTTACAATATTACCAATAAATTATATAATCACAAAAGCTTCTCATGGATTTTAAAAAGTTTGTCCTAAGATCAATCAACATTTTGATTATCAGCCTCTTACTGCTTAATACAACTGCCCAGAAAATCTAGTTTCGTTTTCCATTTTTAATAGGATTACAAAATACTGTGATTTTAAAACCTCTTTCACAATATCTAGTAGTTCTTCAATAGTGCAGCATGCAGGAACCACTCCATAAATGATCATTTGGCCTTCCTTTGTTTGGGTTTAAAATTTTCCAGAACAGAAAACTCAAAAAGATTCTCAAAACTAATCACTCAAGTACTAAAACATTCATTCTTCTTCCTACTTAGCTCACTCCAACTTTCACCTGTTGTATACAACTGCACTGTGGACGCTCTTCCATTAAACAACCTCTGAAAGCTTCGGAACAGCTACTGGCTACAAAATCCCCAGAGTTCTTAACTACCTTCAACACTCCTTAGACTTTCATCTGGTATAGACAGGACTATGTCAGGAACCTCTGTGCCTCATTTTACTAAGATCTTCAAATTCGAAGAACTTCTACCCCATAGGTTACTCTAATTAAAGGGACTGACCAGGACAAAGAACTTGGGAAAAGTAACATGTAACAGGTGCTACCTGCTTGCTATCACTACTCTTTTTTTTTTTTAATTGAAAAGTCAGATATACAGAGAGGAGGAAAGACAGTGAAAAAGATCTTCTGTTCGATGATTCACTCCCCAAGCTGCCAAAACGGCTGGAGCTAAGCCAATCCAAAGCCAGGAGCCAAGTCTCCCACACGGGTGCAGGGTCCTAAAGCTTCGGTCTAATGCTATCACGCCAGGCCCTGTCACTACTCTTAAAAGATTTAAAGCTCGGGCCCAGCGCGGAGGCACAAGTGGTTAAGTCCTCGCCTTGCACGCCCAGGATCCCATATGGGCTCCGGTTCTATCCCAGCAGCCCCGCTTCCCTTCCAGCTCCCTGCCTGTGGCCCGGGAAAGCAGCAGAGGACAGCCCAAGGATTTGGGACCCTGCACCCGCGTGGGAAACCTGGAAGAGGCTCCTGGCTTCGGATTGGCATAGCATCGGCCATTGCGCTCACTTGGGGAGTGAATCATCGGACAGAAGATCTTCCTCTCTGTCTCTCCTCTCTGTATATCCGCCTTTCCAATAAAAACATAATAAAAATAAATGAATAAATAAATCTTTAAAAGATTTAAAGCTCTGTAACTTTTGGAATAGTTCTACCTCAAGTCCCATTTTAAAATATCAAACTATTCTCTACATTTCTATAAATTCTACTCAAAAAAAAAACCTTTTCTTGAGCCTGCAAAGATTCTATGTCTTATCCTTACCAACTCTCATGTTCTAAGACAGCCTATTCTTTTGGCTTACTTCAGGAATGGGGTTGGGAGCCAAAGTGCAGATACTAAAATACTGGTTTACAATATCAAGCAAATTATACCTCCTTGTGTGTCAAATTTGTCTTCAGAAAATAGGGATAATAACCTATTCAATAAAGACCTATTTGTCTCAGGTTCCTACTAGGTATCAGCAGTATGTGCCTAGCAGCAAATAAAGCAAAATTTGTAACTTGCAGCTACTTACAATCTAGAGAAGAAAGATATACAACAAAGCATGAATAAATATATACAAGGCCAGATGATGACAGGTGTTGTGGAGAAAAACACACAGCAGCATAAGAGAACACGAAGCTCTCTGGCAGGCAAGGGAGGAAGCTTGGCGAGGTACTTTCCACATTATAAAAGGTAGCAGAGGAAGGCCTCCCTAAGCAGACACCCAAGGAAGGAAGCCAGTGAATCATAGGGACAACGGATGGAAGAAAATTCCTGGCTAAATGAAAAAGCAAGTGCAAAATATGTGCACGTGGTGCAGTCTGAAGAACAACAAGGAAGCTAGGCAGAAGAGCAAGTGACAGGGAGGACAGTCAGACAGGCACAGTATACTGGCACTGTCGTTCCTGCACCATTGGCTGTCCACACAGGTATCAGTTTGAGGCCCCGTCTCTCTGCTTCTGATCCAGCTCCCTGTTAACAGAAGATTGATTGATCTATCTCTCTGTAACCGTGCTTTTTTCAAATAAATACATACATCTTTATAAAAATAAATAACCAAAAGAATAAAGAAATGGATACAGAAAGGGAGTATTCTGGAGTCTAGTGTGTCAGTGTTGATGTAAGTGGGATGGAGAGGGTATCAGAGGACTCTGAACAGATGGGTGAGACTGATCGATTTGGGTTATATGGGACTGCTATGTTGATTAAATGTTACGGAAAGGACTGCGCATTGTGGCTGAGCCAGACATTTCAGACACCCACATCACATGCTGGAGTGCCTCGGACTGAGTCTCGCCCTACTTCCAACCCAGCTTCCTGTGAAGGCGATTGGTAGGCAGCAGATGATGGTCTGAGTACTCAGTCCCCTCCCACCCACACAGGCGACTGAGTTACTGGACCCTGGTTTCCACCTGCCTCAGCCTTGGCTGCAGCAAACATTATGGAGTGGAGCCAGTGGAAGGAAGAGATCCCTCACCTGCTGTATTTTTGCCTTTGAAATAAAAAAAAAAAGTAGATAAACAAACACTGCAGAGGGAAGGAGGCGAAAGCTGTTCAATCATTGAGATGACAAATGAAAAGTAGCAAGTATACGTGTAGCACAAAGGTGACAGAGATGGTCCATTTCAGTACACAACTTGAAGACATAGCCAATGGGATTTGCTGCTGAACAGATAACAGAATCCTAGTCAGAAAGAAGTCTGGGATGGAGTCGGCAAAAAGGCTCAATTGACTAATATTCTGCCTGCAAGTGCCAGCATCCCATATGGGTGCTACTTAGTTTTTCAACTGCCCAGCTTCCAACCCAGCTCCCTGCTTGTGGCCTGGGAAGGCATCCAAGCATGGCCCAAAGCCTTGGGACCCTGCACCCAGGTGAGAGACCTGGAAGAAGCTTCTGGCTCCTGAAGCTTCGGCTCAGCTCCAGCTGTTGCATGATTTAGGGCGTAAATCTGCAAATGGAAGATTTTTCTATCTTTCCTTCTCTCTGTGTATCTGCCTTTCCAATAAAAAACACAAATAAATCTTAAAAAAAAAAAAAAAACAGATGGACATGAAGAAATCTGGGATGGCCAGTTGTTTTTGCTTTTACTGTTTTGGTAACCCGAGGTTGTATTCTAGGAGGCTCTGTCATTTACTCTGTGATGTAGGCAAGTTACTTTGCTCTGCCTCAGTTTCCTCACCAGTAAAATGGAGACAATATTAGCACATGACTAATAAGACTACTGTGAAGATTATATGTTTACAAAGCTTAGCTAGCTTTTAGTAGATTACTAATTAAGCACTGCTATCATTATCAGTATTACAGCTTGTCTATGGAAATACAGAAAGAGCAGATTGGGGAGTAGAATGAATACCAGGAATTAAATGAAAACATTAAGCTTCAGATAACTATTGGACACATAGGTAAAGATTGTAAATAGGCAGCTGAGCACATTCCAGCTTAGCAGGAAGCTCAGGGGTGAGAATCACATCTGAGAACCAGCAACATAACAACAATAGAAACTAAAGGGCCCTCTAGGAAGTCAGCCTACAGTGAAAGAATTTTACAAGTAAGGAAAACAATGAAGCTCCATCATCTTCCTTCCACAGGGGCATCCTGGGGGGTCCAAGTAACAAGTGCCTCAAGAAGCAATGCTCAATGTTCTACATACTCTAGAGAGGTCAAGGAAGAAAAGTAGCAATTGGTCACTGGATTTCACAGTACAGAGGTAACAAGCAAGCCTGATGAGAGTTGTTCTGGCTTAATGAGATGAAGATGGAGTTACATTCAGGAAAAAAACAGGAGGGAATGAATTGGAAACAACAAACAAAAACAATTCTTCAGGGGACCTCTATGGCATAAAAGAGTAAAGAAGCGTCCAGGTAACCAGAAAGGGTCCTAGACCAGCAATTCATTGTCACTGTTCATGACTTGTAGGCCTTTAGACTTAGATCAAGCACACTGCCACTGCTATTCTAAGATGAAAGAAAATAGATGAACTTGTAAGGCCAATGCACTAATGTGAGAGTGAAAAATGCATATTACAGAACAGGAACCTACTGCAGGGGAGGAGGGAGGGGCCTTGACTAAATCAAATGAGACCTGGTGTACCAGAAAGTAAAGAGCCCTGAGAAAAATTATTTCACTGCTTTCTTCATTTATTTATTCAACAAATATTTACTGAGCAAGGAAACTTTGATATCATTCTAGACAGAAAACAAGATGGTAATCTATCAAAACATATGTAAAGCACTTACGTAATAATACATAGCACGTTACAACCATGGAACAAGCATCTAAAAATAGATCTCAGCTGCTTCGTGCCAAACTGTAACAAAAATGTGACGCAAGATGGTGTCCCAAAACCTGCTACTGCAGGACTGTCAAAGGCACTGGAGTACTATGCTTTTGAACAGATAAGCATTTATTTTTTGAAATTGTATACTTTTTATTAATGTTTGTTTATTTTCACATACTTGAAAGGCAGAACAAGACAGTAAGAGAAAGAGGAGCTGCAGCTGGGTCAGGCCAAAATCAGCGGCCAGGAACTCCAATGAGCCCGAGATCCAAGCACTTGAGCCATCGCTGCTGTTTCCCAGGAGCATTACAGGAAGTTGGAGTGGAAGCAGAGCAGCTGGGAATTGAAGCATCACTTCCGTATAGGGCATGGGCATCCAAGCGATAGCTTTAATCCAATGGGCTACAACTCTCGACCCTAAAATACTTATCTTTAATAATGTAGAAAAAGAAAGTCTTTAAATTCTACGAGTCCAATGCCTGGGATTGAATTCTACCCCCGCTTCTGATCTAGCCTCTTGTTAATGCGCAAACTGGGAGGCAGAAGATGGTGGCTCAAGCACTTGGGTCCTTGTCCCAATTTGGGAGACCATCTCCTGGCTTCAATCTGCCACAGCACTGGAATTTGGGAAGTGAATCAGCAGATTTAAGTCTCTATCTCTCTGTTACTCTACCTTTCAGATAAATACATAATAAACTTAAAAAAAGTGGGGGAAAGGGACTTGGCTGCTCTATTTCCCATTCAGCTCCCTGCTTGTGGCCTGGGAAAGCAGCTGAGGGCAGTCCAAAGCCTTGGGATCCTGCATCCGCGTAGGAGACCTGGAGGAAGCGCCTGGCTTCAAACTGGCTTAGTTCTGGCTGTTGTGGCCATTTGGGGAGTGAATCAGTGGATGAACGCTCTTTCCCTCTGTCTTTCCTCTCTGCAAACCTTATCTGCCTTTCCAATATAAATAAATCTGCAAAAAAAAAAACACAGGAAGGAAGGGAGGGAGGGAGGGAGGGAGGAAGGAAGGAAGGAGGAAGGGAGGGAGGGAGGAAGGGTAGAAGGAAAACGGGAGAATGGTCAGGCCTTGTGATGTGGCAATTAAGCCACTGTTTGCAAATTGTGGTTCTTGGGATGAAGTCCTCCCTCCACTTCTATCCAGCTTCCTGCTAACATACCTGGACACACGTGGGAGCCAGGACAGAGTTCCTGAACTCCTCTGTTTTAATCACACTGAGAACATTCTGAAAATGCTATTTGGAGAAATATATCATAATGCAAATTAATTTCCCAGTTTCTGAATATTTAAGAGTTAAACAGGAGCTAGGCATTCAGTTTTAGCAAGCAACTAGTTTTACTTCAAATCATGAATAAAGCTGCACTTCATCTAATATTTCAGTCTAGGGATCTGCCAAATCCAGTCCTCCTAAGCTTTAAAATAATACACTTTGGACTTGAAGCGCCAAACTCCAGATTCTGCTAACAATCCCCTTTCAAGATTTTTTTAAGTCCTCAAATGCCCTTCCACCTCCAGGTAAACTCTTCCATTCTATTTAATCCTACTGTTCTTCCCTTATTTTTCTGTCCTACGAATGGAACTAATACCAATAATGTCGTCCATCTCTACACATGTCTAACTCTTTCCTTCTCAAATAACCAAAATCAGCAGATTTCTGACCCTCAAAATAGGGCAGCAGTAAGAATGCAGAATTAGGCATTTCACTGGAAAACAAATCTATTCCCAACCACTCCTAAATACCATCAAAGTAGGGCGTCCAGTCCAAATGTCTGGATTTCACCTCGGTTTACACATAACTCTGCTCAAGCAGGACAAACTAAACCCTATGTGTTGACAGAGCCTTCAAGTCTGAACTTGCTGCTTAGATAGTCCCATAGACTATAAAGCTCCAAACACTACTTTTTCCAATTTTGCATGCTGATTCAGTTTCCCCTATTTGTGTGCCAAGATACTTTTCTTAGTAGATCATTAGCAGCTTGAAGGCAGAGACCTGCTTTACACAAAGGACACCCCCAGGGACTGCAAGCCTGGAGCCCCCAACTATCAACACCACAAAAGAAGTGTCTGATACACATTGTTTGCTTCAGTGCTGCCAGCAGCCCACCAAAGTGGTCATGATCAAGCATTCCCATTTCACAGATGTCCAAAGTCGAGCGGCCTGCCCAGGTGCCACAGCGAGCCACGTCTGACCCGTCAGGACCCTCTAACCCACCACCCACGCAACCATCCCTCGCACCCACGGGCTACCACAGGCTTTCCTTTCCCTTTTCAACACAGGGGCTCAGTGAGGCTCCCGGAGCACGGGCGTCCCAGGGCAAGTCTAGAGGCCTCTAGTGAGGACGGACGGACACACCTCTCCCGTCAAGCCAAGTGTCTACTGGCGAAAGTGGAGGTTTCTAGAGCTCCAAGGGAGACGGGGGCCAGGGAAGGCCGGCTCCTCGTGACCCAGGCAGGACCTCCTCGCACAGCCGTCCGCGGGCCAGCGCACGCGGGGATGCAGGCGGCAGCCGGGACGCGCGCGGCCCTCGGCGCCCCCAGCCTAGCCAGACGCGCCGCGCGCTGCAGCAGCGCGGGGAAGCCAAGATGGGGACCGACGCACCTGGGACGAGAGGCAGCTCGCCTTCCCTCCCAGCGGTAGCAGCAGCTCTTCACTGGGTCAGCAGACCAGGGAGGAAGGCAGGAGGTATGCAGCACTTTTCGCCTAGATGTCCCGCGAGGAAGGAACCAACCCGCTGCGGCTGCAGCCCGGGCCGCCTTGAGTGTGGCACCGCCCGCCACCCGCCCCTTCCCGCGGCCGCCAGGAGCCACTTCCGGCGGCGGCGACCGCGCGCTTCCCCGGCGCGAGCGGCTCCGGGCGCGTTCCTCGGCGGGCATCCCCGGGCGCGCCGGCCAGCTCTCCTCTCGGCGTCCAGGGGGCGAGCCAAGGCGGGGAGACTGGCAAAATGTGCTGCGAGCGGTGGAGCCGCGTGGCCGAGATGCGGCTGTTCGTGGAAGCCCGGGAGGAGGAGGAGCCCGCCATCCTGTGCGTGTGCTCCCGGGCGTTCGTGGAGTAAGTGGGAGTGCGCGGCGGGGCCCCTGGCGTAGGTCGCCGGGAGAGAGGTGGTGTAGCCGGGGTGCGTCCTGCGGGGAGGAGAAATCCAGCTGCGTTTGAGCCGGGGGGAGGGGGAGGCGGATTTCTTTTCCTTCCTTACGGGAAAAATGAGGTTGCGGAGGCCGTTTTATTTATAGCTTAAATGCATGTGATAAGCCACTTGAACTTGTGTTTCATAGCTAAACCTGATATATTTACGCTACACTCACATGCTACTTTTAAATGAAAATCCTTCTGCAAATGAATTTTATGTGACTAAGTTTTAATACAGTTTCATAGAACTTAAATTTGAAGAAGTTTTTCATCATAATCTGAAAATTAACCCATGATGTTTCCACTGTAAAGCTAGATGCCTTCAGTAGGAACTATGCTTTCCTGGCTCCTGACAAGCTGTGGTCCTCTCACAGTTCTGTTAAGACCTGACCCCAGCAATGCTTGTATACCTCCATCCTGGGTCCAGGAGCATCTGTGTATTGGGAAGATCTAAAGCCAGCGAATGAAATGATCAGATTTGGGTTGTTCAAAGATAACCTTGGCAGCAGAGGGGATGACGGCTTAGGGGAAGAGAGCCACTTAAGGTCATCACCCAGGCAAGAGACAGGCAGGAGAGAAACTGCAGCTCTGGGGAATATATTGGGAGTAGAGAAATAAAGGAAAGATAAGCCAGACAACGACCAGGTCTGGCTGACACCTTGGTTTCTACCTTGTGTTGCTGCATTGTGCTGAGGTAGCGATTGCTGGAGAATAAAGAGTTTTATTTGGGGGGCAGCAGTGCAGAGATCCTGGATTCCATTTTATACATTTTGATGTTGAGGTACCTATGGGATATCCTAAGATACATACATTAGTAGTTGGATTATTAGTTTGGAGTCCTGGAGAAGCCTGAGTTAATCTTAAAAATTTGAACCATTTACATTTAGTAAGTGAATGAAGCCAATAATGGGGGAGAAGGAATTCATCCTTGAGGAGTTCCAGTAATTTTTCAGGATGATGAGAGGTGAAGTCACAGGGAAACAGCATGCAAGCCCAAACTGGTGTTTCAGTGGAGCAGCCCACACTGGAAAGCTGCTGAAAAGAGATCCACCAGAGTTGGCAGTGGGCTGAGTGATGCTTTATCAAATGCCACCACTAATTGTTTTTCCTTTGCTGGTGAAACTCCTTGACAACACCTCATGGGTATCTTCTAAACTACCTTCTAAACGCTCTTTGGTTAAGATTCATCTCTTAGGGCTTGTCTTCAGACGGCATGGCCCAGTTTAGCAAGAATTCTGCAATGTTGTTTAATGAAATTTCTCCCACCCTTGATATCTGACCATGCTGGCCTGCCTTCAGCGGAAATCGTATATCAGCTTAGCAAGAAACCCTGCATCCTTAAAATCTCAGTAAGCCCTCGTCCACTGACCCCCTTCCTCCTGCTCATTGGATATGAATTTCCAGCAGTCTTTTCTGTGTTAACAGTTGAGCTGGATCTGCAGCTAAGTCCTTAGGCTTCATGCCTGTCACAAAAGTCCCAAATGAAGCTCTCGTTGGTGTTTTAACACATCAGAATAATTTAAAACATTTTTTTTTCTTATCAGCCTACCAAGAGCTCTTCTAGGAATCACTCGGAATGTATTCTTGCTTATTCAAGATGATTGAATCTCAGAATTGCCCCTCCCCGTAAAATCAGAGCCAACAATTGGCAACCCTAAATTTCTGCCCCATGAGTAGTGATTCCAAATCCTTGTCACCTATCTAAGATTTTAGTAGCTGTTGTGATTAAGGCACTTAAATAGCCTAACTGTTGGTAGGATGAGTAATGGCCTGCCAAGATACTTTAACATTAATATAAGGGTGCTTTAAAAAGTGTGTAGAAATGATATAAAAAGATATGTTTATTTTAGTACAAAAAATAAAATTAGTGCAAAGAAAGGATCTTTAAGAAATAGGTATTATGATGAAATTAGGTGTGAATTTCAAGGTTCTTCCATGAAAATATGTGATTTTCCCGCAAACTTTGTGAAATACCATCGTATTTGTATAGATTAGTTTTACGGTGGAGGGTTTTGGGGACCTGAAGAGCCATAGTTACCTCTGCTTGTTCTCAGGAGACAATATTTCTTATATTTCATACACTGAAAGCATAGCAAGTTTATCTGATGTGTTTCTCCCCCCCCAACAAGATCCAAGCCAGCATTTCAAATAGTACTGACCATACAGGCAGGGAATCTGCTTGGGTTTCATGGCCCAGCTCGGACAAAAATCAGCTATGTGGCCTTAGGCAAACCACATAAAATTTGTGTGATCTTATTTCAGCTCTTCCAGAAGGGACTTGCTTTCTGTTTTTCTGCTTGAAAATAAAACTCATCCCAGTCATGGAGGAATTGTTCCTTACACTTGAAAATTTCCAAGTAATTTATTCATCTTGTATTTTTGCCACCAGAAATTGTTTCTGCATTAAAAAGCTGACTTAAGCTTGATAATGATGACTGCTGTATTAAAGCATTAATTGTAACCCACTTAATAACAGCTTGAGGAAAATCTCTTCTCCTGGGTAATCAGGCAGAAGAGAAACATCAGAATATGTCTCTCAGAGGAAAACATGCGATTTCAACCAAAGAAGTAGGTGGCATTGATGCTCAAGAATCTGGCCGTAACCACCAATAATAACCATTGCTGGGGAAATTGAGCATATGCAAAATGCAGTCGTTAATCAAGAACGAACCTTTCAAATTTTGATCCTAAGATCTTTGCTTCAGGAGGGATTTAAGCCTTATTGCCATGACAGATAGCATATTTGTAACCGTGCTTCTTATTATTATTTCTTTTTTCTTTAAGACTTGTTTAATTTAAAGGCAGAGTTACAGAGAGAGACCTTCCATACACTGTTCTACTTCCAGTGGCCACAGTGGCTGAAGCTGGAGGGGTCTAAACCCAAGAGCCAGGGGTTTCTTCCAGGTCTCCCTCATGGGTGTACAGAACCAAGAGCCTGGACCCTACTCTGCTGTAGTCCCATGCCATTAGCAGTGGATCAGAAGTGGAGAGCTGCTGGGAATCAGAAGACTTCAGCTTTGCAATTCAAATCAGCAGTAAAGGTTGATTATTGGTGGTTTTTTTTCCTAATGATAAGTTTATTTTTGATAATGTTTACATAGAAAGATGTTTGCCCATATGAACCACCAACTAGGGTGGGGAGGATCAAGGAATGAGGGAAAGTGGATGAGACAACTGCCTCCAATCTTTTTTTCTTCCTGTATCTGGAGGAAGTAGAAATAGAAGAGGAGAGGGCCGCCCCCAACAGCCCAACCACATCAGTACCTGGGGATGGGAGATGACCACCAGATGTCATCCCAGGGTTCCCGATGTGGAGCATGTTCCGAGGGCGCTGCTCAAATGATTTTGATAGTTCTGAGATGCTGTTGATTTCGTTGCTCCAAGGTTGAAGAAATACCTCCAAGGTTGATTTGCTGACATAGTCCACCTTAAAGTCTCCACTCGTCCAGATACTCACTGTTAAAGCTTGGCTGGGAGAGTTATCCAATTTTTCTGCTCTGCATGGTGCTAGACATCCTGTGTAGGCCTCAATGAATGAGTCGTCAAGTTCCCAAGAGCATCTGGGCAATGCCATCAACTGCAGAGGCCTCAGCAACCATGGAGACTCAGCTCTGACACATGCACTCCACGATCAGACCACAGATACTGTGATTTTTCCCCATGGTTGGAGTTCTGAGTCCAGTGATCCAGTTGAGGACTCCTCAAAGAAACCGCACCAGAGGTGAATTCAGACCCGACTCCTAAGCACTAGTCAGTGCAGGGTCTGATTTCAGTCCATCATCCATATCAGCCTACACACATACACTGGTGGATACAGTCGTCTGTTTTTCTCCCCATGCCTAATATGCAAACCAGTGGATGCTGTGCCCCAACCTAGTCCTGTCCACTGCACACTCATCCTTCACACACACTAACAGGAACTGCAGCTAATTTGAAAGACCCCCCAGGAACCCCAACAAGGCCTTCCTCCAATCCTGGTTCCTGTGGGTGTGTGCAGCAGACTGGTGTAGTTCTACATCCTATTCAGCTCTCATACACATCAATGGATTTTGAAGCCTAGCTCAGCATGACCAAAACCATTACCCAGCCCAGTCATGATGACAAATGCCATCATCTGGACAGGCATCTGCCTGTCCTGCCCAGCCAGACCTGCCCCCAACTTTAGTTTCCATGCTCACTGGTGAGAGCTGCAGCCCATCAGAGACGTGCCCACTATATCCCTCCTGGGCCTACTCCCAGCTCTGGATCTTGAACTTGCCAGGTGGTTTTACAGTCTAGCCTGACAGAAGTTGTCCCCAGTCCCAGCACCTGCTAGCCAATGCTACAGGAAAGTCCAAACAGCACTTAACTCTGGCTCATGCATGTACCAGTGGACATGGTTGTTTAGCCCAGCCTGGCTCTCCCCATAACCCAGCTCACATGCTGCAGACCAATGGGTTTTACAGCCCGGCCCAGCAGGGAAGTCCTTACAGCCCCCCTACCTGGTTTGCTCTCAGCCACAGATCTTTCCGTATCTAGTAGTTGCTCCATTCCAGCACTGGATAATCTGTCACCCAGCTTGAACTTTGCCATCAGATGCTGTATCCTTACCTGGCCCATCCACAGTCCCAATCTTAGCTGGTGGTTGCTGCAGGCTAGCCCCACCCAAACTGCCCCCATACCTAGCTTTCATTCAAACCAGCAGGTGTGACAGCCTAGCCTAGCCTAGCATAGCCTGCACCCCGTCCTGGCTTCCACACCTGCCAGTTTTCTATGGTTTGGCCTGGCCTTGTGTGGTCTTTTCCCACCACCCCCTCAACAGCCAACCCGTACACCCACTGATAACTGAAGCAGCCCTGCCTGGCCTCACCAGCACCTAGAGGACTTACCATGCTCCATCCTCACCAGCAGGAGCTACAGCCCACCGGGGGAATTTCCAAAGTTCT